GGGAACCGAGGCAGCAGGGCCATGGCGAGAGGGGCCGGGCAGGGGCGCAGAGGATGGGCAGGGACCCACCCCTGTGCCCACCACAGCCTCATGGCCCACAGTTCCTTTCAAGGTGCACGAATTCATGCACTGGGCCCCTGCTGTATTAATAAAGAAATTCATGACGAGTGCCCTCGGTGGTCCCAGATCTGCGTCTTGCTTCAACAGTGTTTGGATGGAACAGACCCAGGGAGGCCCCTTCTTCCAGCCTCAGGCCTCTCTCCTGCGTCTCATCCAGTCACCATCTTCAGAATCACCTCCAGGACCAGCCAACACACAGGTTTTTTTCCTACCTTAACTCCTTATTGCCGAAAAACCATGAGCTCCCAAATTTGGCAGAATTATTCCACTGAGGTGGAGGCTGCAGTCAACCGCCTGGCCAGCCTGCATCTGCCGGGCGCCTGCACCTACCTCTCTCTGGGCTTCTGTTTCCACCCTGACAACGTGGCTCTCGAGGGCGGGGGCCACTTCTTCTGTGAGTTGGGGGAGAAGTGCAGGGCGCTGAGTGTCTCTTAAAGTTGCAAAACCAGCGCAGTGGCCACCTTCTCTTCCAGGACGTGCTGAAGCCTCCCCAAGATGAGTGGGCAAAACTCAGGATGCCATGGCAGCCGCCTGGCCTTGGAGAGGAACCTGAACCAGGCCCTTTGGGAGCTGCAGGCCCTGGGTTCTACCCGCGCAGCCCCTCATCCCGCAGAATCACTTTCGGGTGAGGAGGTGAAACTCATCAAGAAGATGGGCCACACCTAACATCCGCAGCTGCCGGCCCCAGGCTGGGCTGGGTGAGTATCCCTTGGAAAGGCTCACCCTCCAGCACGACTAGGAGCCTTTGGAGCCCAGAGGCCTTTGCGAGGCCCCTCTGCAACCCCTGTGTCTGGCTTTTACCTGAGCCTCTCCCTGAAACTACTAGCCATTCTTTTAACCACCCTGAAGCCCTCTCCCACGCATTGGACCAAATGAAACAAAAAAGCTTTTTGCAGAAAAAAAAAAGGAAATTCATGACTATAATACAATATTTTAATATTTTTTGAGGTTTAATTGAAGCATAATAAACTGGAAGTTTTTAAAGTGTTAAATTTTATCATTTTTTACATATATATCATGAAGCCATCCCCACAATCAAGGCACTAAACTTTTCCCCACCCCCAACATTTCTTTGTGCCCCTCTATAACCCACCCTTCTACCACACCCACCCATGGGTGACCATTGCTTTGTTTTCTGTCACTATAAATGAGTTTGCATTTTTGAGAATTTTACATAAATGAAATCATGCATTATGATTCTTGGGGAAGGAAGGGAGGGTTGAGGGAGTCTTCTCACTCATCATCATGATTTTGACATTCATGCTGAGTGTATATCGCTTTTATTCCTTTTTATTGCAGAGTAGTAACCCATTGTATAGATCTACCACAATTTGTTTATCATTTACCTGCTGATGAACAATTGCAATGTTTCTAATTTTTAGCTGTTACAAATAAACTTGCTATTAACATTTATATACAAATCTTTGTGCTGACTTATGTTTTCCTTTCTCTTGGGTGTCAAATGGCTGGGTCATATGGTAGGGGAATTTTTAACTTTTTAAGAAACTGCCAAACTATTTTCCAAATTGGTTGTACCATTTTATATTCCCACCAGTAGCAAATGAGAGGCTAGTTGCTCCACATCCTTGTCAACACTTGCTACATTCAGTCTTTGTAATTTTAGCCAATCTAATGGATATAATGGTATTTCATTATAGTTTAATTTGCACTTTCCTGATGACTGATGATGTTGAGCATCTTTTATGTGCCTATTGGCCATTTGTATATCTTCCTTTTTGAAGCAATGGTTCAAAATTTTTGCCCTTTTAAAACATTGAGTTATTTGTTGTATTACTATTGAGTTGTAAAATATGTTCATATATTTGTTATACATTTCTTATATGTTTTTATATATGTCTGATAGATGTTTTGCATTTCTCCGAGTCTATAGCTTGCCTTTTATTTTCTCAATTTTGTCTTTTAACAAGCAAAAGTTTTAAATTATGTTGAAGTCTAATTTATCAATGTTTTCTTTCATGGTTTGTACTTTTTGTGTTATAAGAAACCTTAACCTACGCCAAGGTTTCAACAATTTTCTCCCATGTTATTTTCTAGGAAGTTTATGGTTTTAGGCTTTACCTTTAGGCCTGTAATTCATTCTGGGTTAATTTTTGTGTATTACATGAGGTAAGAATCTATGATAATATTTTTCTTATCGATATTCAGTTTTCCCACCATGTGTACATTACATGCATTTTTGTGTATTTAGCAACATTGTTTTCAGATGATGTCCTTAGACTTCACCAAACTGCCAAAGAGGTCCCTGGCACATCTTTTAGAGATTCCAGCAAAGTAGAGATAAGAAACTGCAGACATCCAGGAAAAGTGTTTTCAATATCCATGTAGGAATCCATCGTATCATCCCATGGGTTTGGGGAGACCATTTCTCAGTATGATGAGGTTGCATAACAACCAGCGATTTGGTTCAGGGCACTCAAGGATTGTCAGAGATGTGGATGAGATCCCCTGAACCATAACGGGAACTGTTACGGCAATTTCATAATGGCAAGAAGGGCTGCTCACAGCCCCTGATCTACTCATGAAAGTTTGCAACTGTCTCCCATGTGATGACTTGATTAAATTTGAGACGTCTTTGCTTCTCAGGACATATCTACTAGTAAATCATTCTGCTTAGGCAGGGTGGCTATCTGTCCTTGTTTGCCTGGGACAGTCCTGGTTTATGCTTTATTATTAACAGTATCCCTTTCACTCGCAAAATGTTTCACTCTCCAAAGGTCTCTAGATCTTTGGTTAACGGAGAGCTCAGATTTGGGGCCCACTTGAACCTGCGGCTAGATGGGGAAGGGCTGAACAAAGAAGCGACAGCACCGGCCCATGCTTCTGTCACCAGAGAGAGCAGCCCTGAGTCCTGTCCTCCAGCCCTCCTCCTGCAGCCAGTCAATTTAGTTCCTCCCCATATGTCCCTGGCACTTTTTGAGCTGCTAACCTGGCACTGGAGCTTAGAGCAAATGAGTCTGTGAGCAAATGAGTCAATTGGCAAACTCCTCAACAGGAATGCTTGGGACTACGGCGGCCCTCCACCTCCCTGGGGTGCAATCCTGGCTGTCTTTGGCAGTCAGATGTTATGGGGACTCCTGACTTCCTGGTTCTGGTGCCCCTGGCTGGGGAGCCCAGTGTGGGGCTGGATCCCTCGCTCCTCAGGGGTACTTCTGCAGTCAAGACCTCCCTCAGGTTTCTTAACCGCCACACTTGGGTATGGGACCAGCCCATTTCACATCTCTGCCCCTCCCACCAGTCTCAGGGTGGCTTCTTCTTTATATCCTTAGTTACAGGACTTCTGTTTAGCTAGACTTCAGGTGGTTCTCAAGGAAGTTGTTCTCGAATTTAGTTGTCATTTTGATGTGGTCATGGGAGGAGGTTAGCACAGTGTTTACCTACTCTGCCATCTTGACCTTGAGGGAATTCTGTAATCTCTTCGAATACTCCCTATGTCTCCAGGGCACAACTTCTTTTAGAATTTAGAACACTACGGGTTGGATTCTGGAAACCTCTGATGTCTCTCAGTCAGTGTTTCCAAGATCATTCCTCTGAAGACCAGTCAGCTTTGTTCACCATCAAAGATAATATTCAACTAAAAGCAAAAAGAAAATGTATTTAAAAGCCATCCTATATGCTTTTTCTCCTTAAGGAAAAAAGGAAGCAAAAAGTGGCATGTCTTGGAAGGAAATGCCAAAGAGGTGAGGGGTAGAAATTCTGGGGATTGATATTGAAAAGCCAGCCTGACCCCAGCTTGGCTGAAAGAATCTGCTTGGAGTGGTATGAGTGCTCTTCACATACAGATCTATCGGAAAGTTGTTCATAACTATAGGATCTGGGCAGTTGCATAAAGGCTGTTGTTCCATGTTGGATTTTACCATCAACCGGCAAGAGCTTTATCTCATTCTCCTCTCATTTGGCAACTTCTGTTGCCTCCTAACTAGTCCCTGAGGGAAGAATGGACTTTAGCCATCTGGGTTACTCTCCATTCCCCATCTTTGAGTCCTCAAGCTCTTTGCTGAAGAACAAATAGAAAGAGAGAGCATAAAAGAAAAAGAGAAGAAAACCTTGACCTTATCTTGAGCTCTTTGTGGTTCTTCAAAAGAATGAGTTTCGGAGTCACCTTTATTCCTTTTTATTTGTTTTAGGGTAGGCAGTAGAGGAAATTAGAAAGGGCAGCGTGACTGTGGTCATTTTGGGCAAGAGCAAGAGCCATATCCTTTCATTTCTATTTTGTCTTCATTCGTCCACTATTGATTGAGTTCCTCCCTGTGTACCAGGCACTGTTCTAGGCACTGGGGCATAGCCATGAGCAAAACAGGCAAGTCCTTGCTCACATGGAGCTGATATCTGGTGGGAGAGACAGACAGTGAACAGATAACCATGTGTGATGTAGTGTTGTGGAGTGATAAATGCACATGCTGGCTGAGGATGCTGCTTTGGACAGAGTGGTCCAAAGAACCTGTCTGGGCGGAGACATATGAGCAGAGACCTGAGTGGAGTGAAGGTGAAATCCATGGGACTGTGTCTGTAGGGTGGTGTGGGCCGAGGGACAGCATGTGTGGGTGTCTGGAAGGTCCCTCTCTATATGGGAATAAGTGTCTCCCACTGGACATTAGTGATCCTGCAATTCTGATGCTCTGCCTAAACATATGCCCAGGAGTTGATTTCCTGTGATTTTAAGTGGAAAAAAATGATAATGTATGATCCGTCAACCCAAGCCCCCAAATACTTTCCTACAATGAAAGTAAATACTTAAAATGCTTTACAAGTACCCGCAGGAGAAAGCTGTGAGGCATGAAGTTGGGGATGGGATCTTTCACCTCCTTTTTCATACTGAGTTTCTATGCATACTTGGTCTTGTTTCTTTTCAATTCATCTATAAAAATATGGAACGCTTCACAGATGTGTGTGTCATCCTTGCACGGCGGCCATGCTGATCTTTGTTCCATTCCACTTTTAGGATATGCTATTGAACTGAGTGCAACACGCTTACCTTTCAAGAACAGAGAGTTAGAAAGGCACTGATGGAATTGATCACATCTTCTGCTTTGCACTGGCTGCCAGGAAGCTCAGCAGCTAATTCTCAGTCCACCACGGACGAGTGTTCAGGACCTCCTCGCCCACATTTTGTGTGCAAACCTCACCCTTTGCTTTCACCTCTTTTCCTCCCCGTGTTCCTTCACTGGTTTTCTTGTGTTCTTTTCCCTGTTGCCATATATATGTTTTTGCATGCTGCCTCAAATCTGTTTTGAAAAGAGCCAATCCTTAAATAAAAGAATGTTTAAAATGGAGCGCTCTTTCTGTAGCTCCATTCTCTGCACACCGGGAAAGAAATGTATATAGAAGTAAAGCATGATTTGGCATGGAGAATGCATACGTGTGCTTGTGAGACGTGCGTATGCATGTTGGATACATTGTGAAGTTTGTAGTGTTCAAGGGTAGGCTGGTCTTCTGGCTTCAGAGGGCATTTACTTGGAAGACTCTCGGGGGAAAAAAGTGTTTTATTCCAGGGTAGGCGTGTCTGTGGTCTACCCTCCAAAGAATCTGCTTCATGGTTTAGCATTTTCAGTTTTTGTCTGGGATTATGATGCTGGTCATTATAAAATGAGCCCAAATACTTAACAAGAAGAAATCAAGGGAAAGAAAGAGATGGGAAGGGGGCACCCCTACCTAGGAAGGTGGATGGATTTCCATGTCTTGAGGAAGAATTGAGAGACTGAAGTCTTATCTCAGCTTCTCCCTCATCTGCTGTGATTCTGGGGTCAAGTCCCTATTCTTCCAAAGACAAGGCGTCTCACTCTCTCTCTGCTCCACACTGGAATCACCAGGGGAGCTTTAAAAAATACGGATGCCTCGGTCCCTCCCCGAGTCTGGTTTAATTGGTCTGGGGTGGGGCCCCAGGATGGGGACTTTTAAAAGCTGCCCTGGAGATTGTAATGTGCAGCCGGGGTTGAGAACCACTGCCCTAAGAGAAGGAAAAATAAAACTAATAAGCACCTGCCTCCTGGAGATCTCTCAGGGGACTTCGGGGTGTGGTTGTGATGTATGAGATAATGAGCCAGTAAAAAAATGGTTGGGCGGAAACCCATTGACCCTTTGTATTCCATAGAGCACCCTTAGTTAACAAGTGATCTTCAGCATTGTCCCCATGATCTGCAAAGAAACACATTTCCCATCCTGACCCAGTATTCTCTCTCTCTCTCTCTCTCTCTCTCTCTCTCTCTCTCTCTCTCTCTCTCTCTGTCTGTCTCTCTCTCTCTCTCACACACACACACACACACACACACACTTACTCTTATTGCATGCAATTCATTTGGTATTTTCTATTCCAGTCTCTTCCATTCTATTCCTTCAAGGGGAAAAAAAGTTCTGCCTACTAACACTCTTTAAACAACATTATATTAAGGTTCATGGGCCAAAATAAATTAAACACCTCGGGAGAGCATTAAGGCGCTCCATTGATAATGACTTGGAGCTTTTTGCAAAGGTGTGCTGGGAAGTGAAGTTGCATGTACAGTCATAATATTTGTTGAGCAATTGCTAGTGCCAGTAATAGTCATAGTAGAAAGTGTTTTACGAGCATGCTCTCAGTGAATTGTCACAATAAAAACACAAGATGAGTACTGTTATCTTCATGTAGAGGTGAGGAAATCAAGGCCAAGTGCCTATGTCCATGTTGCATCCAGAAAGCAGAAGAATCATTTTTACCCAGAAGCAGCAGGTCTAACCCTCACCTGGCTCGCGGGAGAACAACGGTGCTTACTGAATACATTTGCTTGTCTGAAATTTTGGGAGTAGAAAGAGGTTGGAATAAGCTATGACCAGAGGTGGATCCAGGTACGTGGGGCCTGCTGCATACACAATTTGGGGGTCTTATTTAAGAAAAAGAATACAAAATTATGAGTCCAAAATTAAGGGACAAAAGTAAATATTTCTTGGAATTAAAAGAAATCACAACAAATTCAGATTTTAAGAAGCTGAAAGATACCACACACATCACAAAGTCTCAAATCAACTTTCCCTTCGCTGGATCCCCAGAATGCCAGTGGCCAGTTCACCCCACCCTACTCAAGGTCAAGTGCTCTAGTGGGAATCTACGTGGAAAGAGATGGTGGTTTCTGCTGATTGCTGTTAAGTGTCAAAAGCAAACGATTTTTATTAATCTTACATGAACAAGTGACCATGTGAACACATTTCTAGGCCGCTACCCAGGCCTTAGAAAGGGGCCCAGCAAGCCAGGGGGCAGGAGCTTAAGTTTCATCAGCTTCCCAGTGACCCTACAACAGGCTCTATGTCATTATCTCAAAATCAAGAGCTCTGGAGTCAGCTGGACCTGAATTTCAGCCCTGGCTCAGCTGCTTTCTGCCTTCTTTGAACGTAGCCTTGATCATTTGTAAAAGGGGCATGCTAGCAGCTTCCACCTTTCAGTCTCTTTGGGAGACTAAAGGAAATAAAGAAGGGCAGGGCTTAGAGTTGCCAGATTTAGCAAATAAAAATAAGACACTCAGTTAAATTTAACTTCAGAGAAGCAGCGAATACTTTTTTGGCGTATGTACCACCTATTGCATAGGACATACTTATACTACAACTCATTCCTTGTTTCTGTGAAATCCAGATTCATCGGGGCATCCTGTAATCTATTGAGCTTAACCAGTGGCAGTGATCGGTATTGTTGGCAGTGGTCGAAGCATCCTGTTGGCAGTGCTTGATTGGCAGTGATTGAGGCCTCCTGAGTGTCCCACAACAGGGTTCGTAGACATTAGAAAGCGGGTGTGAGGGAGAAAAATGCCACATAGACTCTGCTCAAGACAGTTTATTGTGGGGAAGATTGAAAGAGGTGGCCGTGAGAGGATAAGTAAGTGGGTGCCTGAATTTGGGGGGGTGTACAGGGGATTGTACCACTGACTTTGGGTAAGCCAATTAAGTTTAGGGACCTCAGTTTCCCTGTGTGTAAAATGGGGGCAAGGAGATCCCTGAACTCTCCTCCCGCAGATAGCACCAGCAATGGAGCTTTCTCATAATGCAGGTGCCGCCTCCTCAGAGAGGTCTTCCCTGACTACACTGGCTAAGATCACTGTCCCCTTGCCACAGCACATAATTTCCCCCTCCACAGTAATTATTATAACTTTCTGAAATGGTCTTGATTCTGTACTTGTTTATGGTCTGTGTCCCCATGTGAATGTAAGTTGCAGGAGGGCAAAAAACCCGAGTCCACCTTGATTTAGTGGACTCTCCCAGGTGCTGCCATGTACACTGAATGACTAGGTGGATGAATGAATGAATGAATGAATGAATGAATGAATGAATGAATGAATGAATTCAGTGTAATTGTGGAGGTTCCTTCCAAGCAATCTTTCCTTTCTCAGGGGCCGCGCCTGGGTTGCAGAGGGAGGAGGTGTGGGGTGTCGGTGGGTGGGGAGGAGCTGGGCCCTCGCCTCCCTTCAGGACCCGCAGGAGCGAGCGCGCTCCGCTGGGCTGCAGGCGCTGAGAGCCGCGCGGCGCCAGCTGCAGGGCCGGAGCCCCGCGCCGCGTCCAGGCGCCGGAGGTGTGTACCCGCCAAGCCCAGCGCCGCGCCTCGGCTCCCCCACGCGCCCACGCACCGGCGCGGGGACCCGGGCGGGGGCAGAGGGAGGGCCCGGCCCAGGGAGGGGAAGGGGCCGGTCCTCCCGGAGCCAGCAGCCGCGGCAGCCCAGGAGGCGGAGGCGGAGGCAGTGGCGGCGGCAGAGGCGGCAACGTGCCCGCCGCAGTCGCCCGCCGCTTCGGACCCGCGCCCGCCGGTCCGCCAGCCCGCACCGCGCCGGGGCGCTCTCTCCACTGCGCGCGGTGAGTACCTCCAGCGGCGCCCACCCCGGGCCGCCCGCGGGGTTCGCCGGGCCGGGGTCGCCGCGGACCCCCTCGCCTGGCGCCTCTCTGCAGCACTTGCCCAGCCTGGGCCTCCGCAGCTGTCGGGGTGCTCGGGGGCGCACGGGTCCATCGGGGCTCCCAGGCCTGAGGAGGTACCGGGGCAGCCGGGACGGTGGACAGATCCTCTCCGAGAAAGTCCGTCCCAGGTTCCGGGCCTCGGCTTCCCCGTGCGCTTGGGGAGCAACGACCCTGAAGTTTGCTCTCCCGCGCGGGACAAGTGCATGTCGCGCAGGCGGTGTGGACGCGTCTGGACGGACTGCGTTCGGGTAGTTTGATGGCCCGGGTGGTTCTCGGAAGGGGCGCTCCCGCAATCGGACCGAGGAGGCACCGGGAGCCCGAACCCAGCTCACGCCCTCGGGCGCTCTTCACGCGGTAACCGAGGAGCAGTCGCTGGGATCCGGGCCGGGGCCGGAACGGCACACTGAGCCTCCTGGAGGCTCCGTTTCTTTCTTAAAGTTCCTCTGCGCTCGGCCTGCGCTGGTCCAGCCCTCCCGGCTCTGTAAGGGAGCGGGCGTCCTGGCGCTGGCTGCAGTTGGAGTTGAAACTTAGAACACTTTGCTTCCAAAGGATGCTTAGAAGGAGGCGAGGGTTTTGTTGTAATGGGAGAAAGTAGAGAATGGAATTGTTTTCCAGTCCTCCGTCTGGAGGTTAAAAGGCCGGGCTAGCCCTAGCTCCTTAAGTATATTTCCTGCCCCCAAATAAATAGTTTGTAAGCTCAAAGAATGCTAGGAAAGCTTGACTGGTAAAAATACAAATACCCGCGTCACAAAATCCTCAATGCGCATTTCTCAGCTGTTGAAAGTGGGGCGCCTTGGCGGTGCAAGGTCCCTGTCACCCCCCCAGTGAAGCCTCCTCAATAAGTGACAAGCGTGCACGAGGCTGCATTCTGAATTAGTTTATTTTTCCAAAAAACACAAGACCAATGCCGTATTTTTATGGATGCTATTTTCCTTTCTTCCCCTTTCCCCGAAATGCTACGTAATCTTTAATTACTTTTTTTTTTTTATAACGCTGAGGTATAAATCACTCCTGGTGGAGGTACCTTTTAATTACGAGGTGCAGTGGAATGAGTGAATAT